GTAAACCTGAAAAAATTGCAGAAGGTGGATTTTGTTACGTGAGAAAGTCAAAATGGGTATATTGTGGGCTAACAGTAGCTCTAAAGTGCTTAAAAGTTGATGAAAACACGTTCAATGATTTTGTCAAAGAGGTATTCTTAATTACGAAAAGCTGTCATTCGATATAAAGCATTCATTTACGAATTAAATTTTTGTGCAGCTTCGTCTTTTACGAAAAGTAGGGATTCATCCAAACATTAATAGTTTTTATGGTATTGTTAAAGGTAAATTTTCAAAAGTGTATTCACTTAAATTAGAGTTATTTGAAATTATTCCATTATCTGGCTGCAAAATTTAGTGTCAGTTCCTGGGTCGCATCGGGGCCCAAAAATGACACGTATTAAATTCGAACAAATTATTTTGTTGGTACGATCATAGTAGTTGCCGGATAATTTTATCATGTATAATTTTAATCATATTTTTTTTAATTAACAGACCCTTCTAGCAGATATTGTATGGTTTTAGAATACGCAAATAATGGAAATTTGCGACAATATTTAAAAATCCATTTTAAAAGTTTAAATTGGAATGACAAATTACGTATAGCCGAGGAAATAACTAAAGGACTTTTTTTCTTACACAATCATAATATTATTCATCGAGATCTTGTAAGTTATTAAATATTTAGGACATACTTATATCTTAAAGGTTTACTATAGTTTTATTATTTTATAGCATTCAAAAAATATTTTAGTTCACGAAGGAAGAATGAAGATTGCGGATTTCGCTTTATCGACAACTTTGAACTCTCTTAGTTGCAACATGTCAAATTCACAATGTTTTAATTATGGAATGCCTGCATATGTTGATCCTCAATGTTTTAAAAACACCAAATACGAATTTAACAAGAAATCTGATATTTATAGTCTTGGTGTGCTTTTCTGGGAAATCTCGAGCGGTAGACCGCCATATCATTCATTCAATTCTACAAACGCCATTGTTATTCATGTCTTTTTAGGAAAGAGAGAAACTGTTATTGATGGTACTCCACAATTTTATATTACCCTTTATACTAAATGCTGGGACGAAGCTCCCAATGAACGTCCAGAAGCTGAAGCTGTTCTTAAATCTTTGAATACTTCTGATATGATTCAACATCAAAATTCTAATATTGCATTAGTTTAGTTACAGTATTTGATTGTTATTATATTACGCCAACTTGATCAAATTTGCAACTAATAATTGTCACAGGTCAAGATGTGCATATTTTAAACCTCCAAACCATTCATACTATAAAAATTTTAGGTAAAATAAGGCAAAATTTCATTTAATCTGATTTCATTTTTCAGAATAATTGTTACGAAATTAGCTGTAATTGCTTCAACCCAAGCACAATATTTAAGACACATTCGTACGAATGTACAGTACATGTAACCATTATAATTTATTTATTATTTATTGTTTATTATTTATAATTATGATTATTAAAGTTTTGACCGCGACTAATTCAGTCAAGGATTTACCAAATTGGCATCTTATACCGATACGGGATGACCTTTCAAACTTTTCGGGTGAAAACGTCCTAATATGGAGAAAAACACTAATACTGAGGTTACTCTTTTGATATTATTTATATATAATTTTACATGATTCTGATATGGTTACACGATCGATAAATAATCGTCATAGATTAACATGAGAACTGCCCAACGAAAACTACCCCGAATTTTTCTACAATAACGTGAATTTTGTAATAATTCAATTGGTTGTTCAGTTTTAGCAAAATATAAATCAAATTTTGTCGATTACATTTATTGCATTTGAATAGTTTGACATTATCTCCCCAAAAATCCTGTCACGTGACATATTTTTGGCTGATTTTAGCCAATGAAATCAATGCCGATCAGCACAGGAGCATGTCAGAAATGTGTGCCAGGTTTGTGGCGCAACTGTGGCGCATATTGCTTGAACTACGAATCATATTTCAAAATCAGGTGCAACGTAACACGATCAGGAAAATTCAAAACAAACGTTCGTCAAAAATCGCTTATATCTCAAAAATCTGCTTAAGAAACCAGCTTTAACGCTTTAAGAAAAAGTTTTTTTAAAGAATTTTGCTGCGCCACAAACCTGGCGCAGCACAGGAATGTAAAAATCATTTCTTTAAAGAAACTTTTCGCATTTTTTTCTTTTATACAGATTGTCTTAGGCCACGCTAGTATTTTATTAACTAATCTAATTATTTTGAGTCAAATAGGTGATTTTTAAAAAAGTGACAAATTTTGAAACAATGCACTTGTGCATTATTATACGCAAATATAGTAAATTGAAATTTCATGTAATTGTAATTTAGAACACATGACATTTAGTTTCTGAGATCAAATTTTCGGTGATTTAGGAGTTGCATATTAGCTGCCCAATACAAAAGTATCGGAGCAGTGTTTTGTCTCAAATTGAACACAGAATATGAATTAATTGATCGTATGAGTATTATACTTTGATTGATTATATGATAACGAAATTACGTAGTTTTCGAATAGTAATCGTTTTGCGCAGCACGACTTGTTAATTAAGCCTTAAGTGAATATTCCATGCAAAGTCTAACCTTATCCAGGTGCTTACTCAGGTTCCTAAATGCAACCTACTTATACTACTGCTAAAATAGACCAACTTACTTGATCTCCATTCTAAGTTGATAATATTTTTAATAAAGAAAAAAGAAAAAAATTAAATTAGGTGTAGGAAGCAATAAAAATGATATAGAGTGAGATATATATATATATAAATAATTATTAATATTAAAGAAGTAGAATTATTTTTTACTGCCATAGTGATGTATCGCTACTCCCTGATACTTAGTTGTCGTGTTGCGTGATGTCGGGGTTTCAATATTCAAACTCTGCTTATAATTAGTAATATCGAAAAACATTGGCACGCACAACAGATATGAGATGAAGCCAGCCGGATCGGGGCTGAAGATCATTTTTATTATGAATAAACAGTGATAAGAATGTATACAGAGTAATAGGAACTGGAACAATGATTTGGCCCGAAAATTAGCGAAAGTGATCGTGCTGGGATCATTGTAACAGACCAGGTAGGGATCAACTAAGCATTATTAGCATAGTTATTCATGTTCAGCCGGTGGTTTCCTGCCTGCCAGCGCAGGCCGGCTGTTAGAATGGCAAAATCAGGTGACAGCTCCAAATTGTAATGATTCTGTCGTTCGGTCTTTGTTTTATTGTTGTGGATATCTTGGATCGTTGTATAAGGTATGCGCGTGTCAGATTCTAGTTGATTGATATTGGGTCGCTGATAGTTGGGTTAGTATTATAAGCCTGGACATGACCGGGCTCTTTCTCTCTTTCTTCATACTCTCTTTCTTTTTTTTTTTTTTTTTTTATCTTGTGTATTTGTATTCATGTTTCTATATTTGTTGTATATATGTATATATATATTTATGTTATATATATATATATATTTGGGATGGTATAATATATACATATTGTCAATTTGCGAACCGAGAACATGGCCTAACGATGCTAGTGATGCGTATGGGCTTAGTGGGGTTGATTTCAATTCACTCTTTTATTATCAATGTCATTATTATTCCATTATCACTTCTATCTCCTTCTCCTTCTTCTTTTTTTTTTTTTGGTCTTTTTTTTTTTGGTTATGCTTCTGTCGGGTGCTGTTGTGTAGTATCGATATCAATCTTGCATCCAGTTTTGTGCTGATTTTTATGCCTTGCTCGATTGCTTGTTCTTTTACTTCTTGCTATCGCATCTTCCTTGTTTTTTTCTTATTTTTTTTTGGCTTAAGAATTTATTTATCAATAGTTTTTTTTTTATTTTTTATTATATATATATATATTTTTTTTTTTTTATAAAAAATGTATGATTGAGTTAACTTCTTTCCAAGCTGTTGTAGAAGGATCAATTGTTATATGCCTTGGTTAAGATAGATGCGAATGTTGCTGGGTAGTCTCAAATGTATCTGTAAAATGATTCGGAGTTCCACCTGCCAATCTTCTAAATTAAAACTAGTGGCATGCCACATATTACTAGTTCAGTGGTGTTTTCAGCCCAAAAACTGTGACCAGTGACGTCCTTGTGGGGGAGGAGTTGTTTTAACTTTGTAATAAACCATTGTTTTGTTGCCATGTACCGTCAGGTTTTGTGAAGAGTATAGCACAGTTCTTGGCGTAGTTTGTTTGGATGTGCATCTGTGTATATGTCTTGAGGGTGCATATGGGGCATAATGTGTTATTAGTGGGGTTTATTATTAAAGAGACTTGGTTTGCCATTTTATGGTTCTTTGTTTTGGCTAGCTGTACGGTTGCGAAGGTATGGCTGTTTGCTTTTTTGAATGCCAATACTTTTAGTGTTGAGACTTTTTTGTTATCAGATCGATTGTTGAGTAAGAGCTCTTCAAGACATGCGAGGCTGTAAAATGCCATTAGGGCCATTGTTCAGAAAAAGAGGTTTATTGGTTCGTTTGTATCGATCTTAGTCCAAATATATGCAAGATGCTATCGAGTGATGTAGGTTTTTTACTTTACTAGTTTATGGGTATGGGCTGTGTCAATAGTCTTCAGAAG